CCTGCTAACGTTTATGTTAATTTGGTCTCAGTTTAGTCACAGGGAAAACTGAATGTGTACCAAACAGCGGATGACAGTATGTGCAGGGAAAAACAAATTTAATTCTAAGTTGCTAAGAGAGTATCATAAATATCAGAAAATAAACTGTTTAAACTGAAGAATTATATTACAGGGTCATTGAAATCATCTGCAGATGGTTGTCCTTTGCTGCTCTTCCAAGCCAGAGCAAACAGGCTTTAAAATAAATTCCTGAATCACTTTTTGCCAAGGTCTGTGCTTCGATAACATCTGCAGTAATACAAATGCCTCAGCATATACTCGCCGTGAATGCAAAGTCTGAATTACAGTCGCCGGCTGTCTGAACAGGCTAATGCTAATCGCTATATTGCTAACAAACAGCATTGCTTGCGCGTACAGCACGAGGTACCGTGATTTATGGCAGGCCGCTGGGTAGCCCTCTGATAAAGCTTTAAATACTGACTTGAAATGTAAGTGTAGTGCTCTGGGAATACGGTGTCGAGCTGGTATGAAACCTGGTCAAATTGGTTTATAGTAATTAGTCAAAATGATAGGAACGTCGTCACAAGCAGTTACTTTTTATCCTCCTGTAAAGTACTGATCAATAAACCTTCCGTTCAGTTTTTCTTTTTTAAGAGTATTTTCTGCGAAGAAAATAAACTATTTTGCTTTTAATCAGGGGAAAAAACCTTCAGAAAGGTTTATGGGGTTTGTCGCCAAAGTGCAAAGTCGTCTTTGCGTTGCGGATGAACGGCTGTCCCTCTCTTCCCGCGGCCGTGGCTGAGGCGCAGCGCAGGCACTCGCCCCCCTGCCCTGGGGAGGCCATTTCTGTACGGAGCTCTCCCGACCTCACGTTCTCTCCTAAGGGTCCTCCCGGTTTTTATTCGTCGTGTCTCTGCTTTGGGGTGTGTAAACCGTCTCCTGCTATTTCAGAAATACCTCCGTGAAGCCGTCCCTGCGTTCCGTGGGACGGCGGGTGCTGAGCCCCGCCGCAGAACGCGCCCTTTGCCGCTGCCGCGGTCTCACCGTGGTGCTGACTTCGGAGGCAGCGGCTCTGCAGCATCTGCAAGTGACCCTGTGGTTAAAGTTGCTTCAGACAAAGCGATCTAAGGATGCGATTTGCAATATTTAGACCTAACAGAAAACTTTTCATTACCTGTTGGCTTCTCAAGCATCTCCTCTCCCAATTCCTGTACCTGTGATTTCTTCTTATTGTTACGCTGCTCATGGACACGAGCAGGGTCAGGCACCAACTTTGTTAAGAGCACAAATGCACAGTAAGAGTCCTTTCGCAGAAGTCTTATGCTCTAGCTAGACAGAAGAAATGCAGGTTCAGAGGGGAAAAAAATGTTTTTCCTCATTTTATATAGGAAAAATGGAGGCAAAGAGACTTGCTCACAGTCACAGTAGTCCAGGAGAGAGAACCGAAGGAAGATTGCTGAGCCCCCAGATCCGTGGTGGTTCTTTTTCCAAGCGTGGTGTTGAGATCTTTTAGCAGTTATTGTGGAGGAAAAATAATAGTAACAAACAGTGGCCTCTTTTTTTTTTTTTCCTTCTTCTTTTTTTCTCCTTTTTTTCCTTCTGTTTTTTCCTTCTTTTCTGTTTTTTCCTTCTTTTCTGTTTTTTCCTTCTTTTCTGTTTTTTCCTTCTTTTCTGTTTTTTCCTTCTTTTCTGTTTTTTCCTTCTTTTCTGTTTTTTCCTTCTTTTCTGTTTTTTCCTTCTTTTCTGTTTTTTCCTTCTTTTCTGTTTTTTCCTTCTTTTCTGTTTTTTCCTTCTTTTCTGTTTTTTCCTTCTTTTCTGTTTTTTCCTTCTTTTCTGTTTTTTCCTTCTTTTCTGTTTTTTCCTTCTTTTCTGTTTTTTCCTTCTTTTCTGTTTTTTCCTTCTTTTCTGTTTTTTCCTTCTTTTCTGTTTTTTCCTTCTTTTCTGTTTTTTCCTTCTTTTCTGTTTTTTCCTTCTTTTCTGTTTTTTCCTTCTTTTCTGTTTTTTCCTTCTTTTCTGTTTTTTCCTTCTTTTCTGTTTTTTCCTTCTTTTCTGTTTTTTCCTTCTTTTCTGTTTTTTCCTTCTTTTCTGTTTTTTCCTTCTTTTCTGTTTTTTCCTTCTTTTCTGTTTTTTCCTTCTTTTCTGTTTTTTCCTTCTTTTCTGTTTTTTCCTTCTTTTCTGTTTTTTCCTTCTTTTCTGTTTTTTCCTTCTTTTCTGTTTTTTCCTTCTTTTCTGTTTTTTCCTTCTTTTCTGTTTTTTCCTTCTTTTCTGTTTTTTCCTTCTTTTCTGTTTTTTCCTTCTTTTCTGTTTTTTCCTTCTTTTCTGTTTTTTCCTTCTTTTCTGTTTTTTCCCCTTCTTTTTTTTTTCCCCCCTTCTTTTTTTTTTCCCCTTCTTTTTTTTTTTCCCCTTCTTTTTTTGCCTCAATCCTCACCCAAATTGCAAGTCTCCAGCTTTTAGGAAAATGTTCTTGCTCTTAAAATGAAAACGTGGAGTGCGAAGGAGTGGAGGTGCCAGCCAAAGGGGAATTACTGGCAGGTGACTTAGGCTTCTCAGCTGGCTGAGGAGGGTCGTCGTGCGGAGCGAGGGTGCTTTGCTGCGCTTCCCTTCGAAGCGGAGGCAGGATAGCAGGATGGGCCGAAGCGCCGCCGCGCTCGGCAGCGCGCCGAAAACCCCGCGGAAGGGAAGTTGAGCCGTTCTGTCTGTGATGCGTGGGCAAAGCGATACTTGCGGAGGTGGAAATCCATCCCCTGTGCTGCCCAAGGCCTTGCCAGGGATCCAGTTCATGAGCTTGTGGGAGTTTCGGTGCTGCACAGATTTTGTGTCTGTACTCCCTGCCTTGTTTCTTTACTCTGACGCCTTCTCTTGAACTCCGCAGAATATTTCTGCAAGCCTAAAGCACTGGCAGGGTCCCTCTCTGGCAGGCAAGAAAGGATGCCACGCGAGGGAATAAGTACTTGAGGCTTTATATACAAAAATGCGAGAAGTAGGTATGTTACTCGAGGGTTTTCTGTCAGGGCGACCGTGCTGGAGTTCAATCTTTCCACAAACTGTCTCGGCAGCTGATGTTGGACCTTTGCCTGGATTGTAATCTTTCCGGATAGAAAATGAATTCAGTCCTCTGGTTTTGAAAACCAGCAATAGGTACGTTATGACTTTCTGTATTGTGATTTCTAATTTAAATAGTGAAAAAAGACTACACTGTTTCATTTTTCCCATACAGACTTTTTTTTGTTTCAGATGACGGTTAAATTTTGTACCTTAGACACAGCGCAGCATCTGGCTGTGCATAAGGCTACATCCACGGGGGGCCAAAAAAGTGCAGAACTGCCTTTTTGCTTCTCAGTCAGCAAGATGTCAGTGATAATTGAATTGAACTTCCATTGGGGTGACAAGAGGGTAGAACTGGACTGAGAAATTTAAAAGTACGACTTAAAGTAGAAGGTTTGCAACTTCTCCCTGCGATTTCCAATTAAACAGTTCATTGTTAAGCAGGGAAGGTAATTCGCAGAACGTGAGAACAGTCCTCTCGGTTAGACCGTTTTCATCGTGCCAACGTCTGTCCTTACCCGCGGCCCACAGCAGATGATTTAGGAAGGATATGAGCACAGGGAAAGCTCTGCCGTCCTTATGAAACAGCCCCTCCAGGATGTATTTTAGGACCTTTCATTACCCGTAACTGATTTACATCTTTAAACCTGTAGCAACGCGTTTCACGTTGTTTGTGAGCTGCGTATTAACAGCCTCAAAACATGTCCCAGGCTGTTGTCTTTAACTGTGGATGCCTCTCCGTTTCTTCCAACTGGTGTTTGCGCTTGCCTAAATGGGGATCTGAGAAGCCTGCCTGGACGGATGAGGAACGGATAGAGCCATGCGTGCTTCCTAGCCCTTGCTTTAGAAGGCCTGATCTTGATGCCTGAGGGTTCAAAGATCCCGCAGTGACAGCCCAAGGGGGCGCCTCCATTTTCCTAAAGTAAGACGCTGAAACAAATCCATAAAAGCGTAACACCTCCCTGATGTGAAGACAGGGGAGGATGGTGGAACAACGTTGGTGCAAATCATTCCTCGGAGGCAGTCTAAATCTATATGTTAGTCACGCATGAATGAAAGAAAACGTGTCTTTTATCTTTGTGTATGATGCAGATCTGTACTTTAAATCGAAATGAGCTAAGCACTGGTCTTCAGTTCATTTCACCTCGTTACTTCTGAATGTCCGACTTAGAATTTCTCTGTCGAGACGCGAGCGTGCTCTGAAACTGGTGTTGTGAATTGGTGTCCTGGCTTTGTTTGGAGCGAGTTTCTTGCTCCGATACCGCTGAAGTACAGTATGAAAAGAATATAACCTGCTCTTTCTTTTCTTTAGGAAAGATTGTTTGTCAGTGAAGAAAACGTTGATGGATTGCTAGGCACTGTTTTATGCCCTTCCTTTTGCTCCCAATCAGCGCCGGAAAGTCAGCCATTAATTGAAGTGCTTGATGTTACTGAGGACAGAATTCAAATCAGGTTGAAGGTAAGGTTCTCTCTGCCAGTATTGCTGACTGATTCACCTACTTCAGCAAGAGCATATCAAATCTGACCGAAACACCTTTGTTCCGTTTTGTCTTGATATAACGGAGAAAACCGTGGAGTAGGGTGCATTTGCGAGTATAAATGTCAGTTTTTTAGAAACATAGCTTCACGTTGGTGCCATTTGATGTGACCAAGGGATTGAAACCTCCTATATTTCATTGGGAAGATGGAGAACTGTGATACAGTCGTTAAAGATAGTGCTTTCTCCTTGCAGGAATACAGCATGGCGCGCACACGCTAAATCTCTCACTGGCATTAAAAGAAAAAAATGACTAAGTAACTGCCTAGTATCCCTCGTTCTGAGGGACCCCGAGTGCTTTCAGGTCAGAGCTGATGACAGCGTGCTGCAAACAAATCACGACAGATGTCATCAGAATAAAAAAGTGAATAATCCACATCCTTCAAATACCCGAAAGTTTGGGTTCACGTACTGGAGCCCACGGTTAAAGCGTGCCATCTTTTGCACAGACACCTTTCCAGGTGTTCGGTCCAGGAGTGAGTTTACCTGGAGGGACTGGGCTCAGGAGGGAGTGGAGAGGCAGGGAGAACCTGGCTGCAGGGAGTGGGAATCGGACAGGGCTCCTTACTATGGACAGAGGGTGCTTGGTCACGGCCACTGCTTTGTCACACAGGTAGAGAAAACCTTTAGGATTTTGCTTGTGAAGAATTGGGTCTCATTATCTTTATTCAGTCCAAGTGTTCGAATACTTTAATTTAAAAATGTAAACATTTAAAATTCAGGTTGTTGGAGAGCAAATGTTGATGTTCTGGTACCTGAGAAAGGGGAGCTAAGACACCTTAAATGACATTCATGTGGGAGAGTCATCCAGTGCCGAGAAGGACTTAGTAGTGTTCCTTTGGTTTCTTGCTGGAGTGAGCAGTGTTTGCGGGTCAGAGAGGGCTGGGTGCATGAGGGAGCGACTCGGTCTTTGAATCCAGGAATCCAGCTGCTCCTGGGCAGATGCCCGCCTGATCCTGGCTGTCCATGGATCGGGACATACGAGTTACCAGCCGGTTTTTGCTAAAGCAGTGAATAGCTAATGGTGAGATTGGGTAACTGCTATTTAGACAGCACCGGGTCTCACCGTTCTCGCTCTCCTGAGGCAAACCACAGCAATTCCTGGATTAATTCACTTCGGCCAATTGGGAAAGACAGCTCACCCATCAGTTATGCCTTTCGCATATGACAGGACGGTAATTTCCCTAATTGCAAGGTTCAAACACGCTTCCTGCAGTAAGAATTTAGATCCCCTGGCTGATTTCGCGGCCCCTGAGTTGTAGCAAACAACAGCCGGGGTGTGGTCTTCCCCGCTGCCGAGGGCGAGGGAGGCCGCGGCCGCGGCCCAGCAGCATTTCCTCCTGCGGAGGAAACCCTCGGGAGGCCAGCGGCCTCCCTGCCGCTCATTCCCACCCGCGGTACAGGATCAGGAGAACCTCAGCACCGCGCTGACTCGGCTTTCTGGAAGCAGACTTTAGAGAAACAGGTGCCTTGGCCTGTCTCTACAGCAGTTTTGCGTGCCCAGTCCGTTTCAACTATAAAACAATTCATTTGTTTTTCTCGACAGCCGCAGGAAGCAGTCCATTCTGAACGCGATGGAAAGGAACAAATGCTTAGCAGCTCAGGAGGAGATCTCGCTGAAAAGACCAACGGCGACTACCCCCAAACAAAGGCAGAAACGAGCTGTACCGCAGCTGGCACAGCTGAAGACGAACGCGCTACAGAAACCAGCAAAACTTCCACATCTTTTGCAACAGCTGAAACAATAGGAAAAGTAGGCTGTAGTTCACACCATTGTCTGCAGCACGAACCTTCTGACACCAGTTCAGCGATTCCTGGCGAATCTAGGAGACAGGAACCAGATTTAGAAAGTGCTGTCGCAGTAGGCGAAACGGCCGTGGCCGCAGACTCTGAAAAACAGGCAGGCCGGCTGCCGGGGGGGCAGGCGAGCGGGGAAGGGGATGGAGCGGCTGGGCCCGCAGGGTCGGCGCAGGGGAGCCGGCGCAGCTCCGACAGCAGACCAGTCTCCCCAGTCCTCCAAGAAGTGAACGCGCAGGATGGGAGCGTGGAGATCGTTAGGGATCACGTAACGCGCTGCCCGGTCGTGTTTCAGAATTCTTTGCTGTATGAATTGGACTAGTTTAATTATTTTAGGTTTTCCTTCTGTTGTTTGATGCTTACTGCGACTTCCACGTGCTGGTTTAGGACTTCAGGGCTAAGAGCAAACGCAGGTTCCTACCAAAACTGTTCTGTTTACACTTCAACTTAGAATATTTACGTTGTTAATAATTTTTGAAGTTAACAGGTCTGAGTTTTGTAATCACGTTACGGGCTCAAGGAGTTTTGCTTACAAGAAAGATGCAGTTGAAGGTGAATCTGAGCTAATGGAAGAAAAGGCAACTGTATTGTTTCCATAACTTTCGGAGTCTCTTGCTACATTACAGGGGGTATTTGCATATATCCTCCTGCTAATGGCTCGCTTGGGACTTGCTGTGTTTAGTCCACCTAGAAATGAGCAGTATTCATCATTTTTCAAACCTTTCATTTTGTGAGAACTGCAGGATTAGACTCGCACTGATTTTCAGCAATCAAATGAAATTTCTAATTACACGGAGCAGTTCTAATTAGTCTCCTAGAAATAATCAACGTTTATACCGTGTATTCCGTCCTAGTACCTCACTTCGGAACACAGCATCCAAACATACCCTAGTCTGTCAACCGAACAGATTCAACTGCACAATAAAAACATCCTCTCTCGTTGCGCGTCTGCTACTAAGTGTTTACAGTTTGTAAAATGGATTCACTTTATCCGGATTAGATTTACTTTTCAAAAACCGTTCCCCACGAGCTTCGGCGTGCTGTTTGCTGGTTCGTCTCTCTAAAGTGCGATAACCAAAAGAGCACATCTAATAGCAAACTTTCAGTTCCCTTTCTCACTGCTTCTGAAATAACTTCTGTTTTCTTTTGAGTTGTACAAGACACAAACGTGCTTTAGAAGAAAGTTTAATTGGACTTCTTTCGCAGCTGCTCTGGAGTTACTCCTGCGTTAGACGTGAGCGTTTGCGGGGGGTTCGTGGCGTCAGCCTTGCTTCCCTAAGCTCAGCGGAAGGCAGGGCTGCCGAAAGCCCCTGCCCTGCCCGCTGGGCCAGCGCAGTGCCCGCCCGGCTAGCGGAGCGCAGGCGGTTTGTTGGGCTAAGCTTAACCCCGACCGGCTCTGTCCCGCAGCCGCCCGGCTCCGCGCGGGAGGGGCTGAGGCACAGGCGCGGCTTTTTCAGCATCAGCTCCGGCTTTGTGAAACCATGAAAATGGAGCAAGTACCAAAGCTGGTACGAAAGCGTGGCAGTTAACTTACCCCTGGGGAAAAAAGAGCATCTTATCGCGGTCAGAATAAACATCTGCATACTGCTTACAGTATTTCACACAACTTGGCTCGCTCTCAAATGAACGTTTAACCGATATAGTCACAACCCATAAAGTAGGTGACAAATGGTGGTAAAAGGAAAGCTTTGCTACGTGCCCTTCCATTCAGAAGTAACTGTTGTCGCCAGAGCCCTGAGAGCACCAACCCCATTTTCTCTAATTAAAAAAATGAAGCTTCTTTTTTCTCTCCGGATCTCTCGGTGTAAAAATCTACCTCTAAATATTACACACCTGTCACCTTAGCGCAGCGGGTTTTTCTCTAACGTACTTCTCCCGTCTACAAAAAGCTGCTTATGGACTACTGCTGCCCGTCGTGCTTCAAAGCGGAGTGCCACGAGAGCAGCCGCACCGCTGGGCTTACAGCGGCGAGGGAGCCGGCGACGTTAAGGAACGGCTCCCCTCTCCCATTCACGGCTTTCGGCTCCAGTTCAGCGCGTTTCCATTACGCAGCAGTATTTTTTACTGGTCGCTTTACACAGCTGACTGATTTGAAAGCGAACTTTTTTGTGATCCAAACAAAAGAGGTGTCGTGCCACGCATTTGTTACTCTATTCTGCCTCAATTAGTGAGTATCATTAAAAAATTAATGAAGTTAACTGCGCACTACTAGAACGGGTGATGGCATGCATTCAGCCCTCTGGATTAAAGACAAGACACCCCCCTGCCCCGGTCCCGACTTTCTTTCTAGTAACACAAGATGACATCATCCTTTTGTGAGAATCAAGAACTTCTCTGGCATTACAAAACAACTGAATTTTATTTCGGCAGAACTAAAAAAATCGTATATTTATCTACATTGTAGTAAAAACAATGGTTTTGTTTTTTTTCCTTCATATAGTTCATCAGCACATCGCGACCAAACGAGGACGCAGGTATCGGGTACAAGGCGACCCCGGGCGGGACAGCTGGCGGGAGGTGCCGGTACCGCCGGCGGGAGGTGCCAGTACCGCCGGCGGAGGGGGTGTGCGAAGCCCGGCTCCCATGGGGGCCAGAGCTCAGGAGGGCTCCGTCCCCTCGCTCGCTCCTCACCACCCCCAGCGCGGCACCGCAGGCGCCACTGCTCTGCCCGATGGGGGGAAAAAACCCCCCACCAGAGCGCTGTCGGCACCAGAAAAGATGCACTTAAACACAAGTGTTTTCCTCCTCCCAGTAAACACAGCAGCCGTCACTTTTTGCGTCGGGGCTGCGACGCTGCTCCAAGCAGCCCGGCGGCAGCAAGTAACCCGTTTCCAAAACATGGTTGCCAAACATGAAAGATTACTATTTTGGGACACCTTTTACAAGAATGTTTATTCATATTAAAGCAGAAACCAACTCATAAATGCTTTTTATACACGTGTGTGCCTGTAAAAGACAGTATGGAACAACTCAAAAAGAAAAAGGCTGCGGGAACGATCCTCACTGAAGTCTGCGGTAACTTTTACAGAGTTCGTGGTCCCTAATATCTCCCCACCCTCCGTTTTTCACATGAGGGGAAAGGGGTGCCATGGAGTACCTTTTACTGACACTCATCGCTTCGGGAAACAGGTACTGTTGGTTGCTGTTCAAGAGAGAGTCAATTTTGGCACTCTGGGTGGACGGTCTGCAGGATTTCTTGTGGTGCATGCCACAGTCCCCCGTGTGAAAAATCCTGGGGATTTCAGGAACCAGCACTTTCCAGAACTTTGGAAGACAAGAGACAGTCAAGTGCTGCAGAGTCCAGTCCCAGTTGTAGTCATCGTAGGTGCAGAAGGCGTCCGTGCACTCGATGAGCTTCTGGTAGGTGTCTCTGCTGAAGGCCATGCCCATGTTGTGCTCGGTGGACTTCCACGTCTTCATCTCCACCTTGTCGGCGCGGCCGGCGAAGCCGCCGCGGATGGGGCTGTAGGTGCCCAGGGAGACGATCTGGCACTCGGGGCACTCCCGCTCGCGCAGGGCCCAGAGCTTTTTGAGGACGTGGTAGAAGTCGGGCGCCAGGTAGTGGTCCTCCTCCAGGAAGAGGACGGGCCCGGCGTGCTCCCGCAGCGCCCGCACCCGCTCCCAGACGAAGTGCAGCTTCCACCACCAGTGGTGCTTGGTCTGGGAGAAGCGAGCTTCGCGGTAGTGCCCGAAGGAGTCGGGGTACTCGGCGTTGATGCAGCCCAGGCGCAGGGCCGCCGCCTTGCCCACGTTGCGGGGGCAGTCACGGGGGTCGTGGCCGGGGAACTCGCGGGGGTAGAGCTGGATGCTGAAGGGGAAGAAGATCTGCAGGACGGGGCAGAAGTCCGCGCGTGCCGCCAGCCGGTTGAGCTCCTCGGCCCACAGGTCGTGGCTCAGGACCAGCAGCACGTTCTCCACGCACGCCGCCCGCCCCAGAGGCTGCAGCCGGCACCGCAA